TATAAACAATCAGGATAGGCGATTTTTATATAGCTATTATTATGACGGGCCGCCGTTGAACTTTTCATTAGGTCACCGTGCATAGGTGAGGCCCCACAACCAGCGCCGCACATAGACACGGGTCTAGCAGTTACGATAAGTAGTCGACGTGAGTGACAAGACGCACAGTTATGAATATGAACGGCCGTCGTTGTCCTTCGCATTAGGTTACTGTGCATAGGTAAAGACTCATTATTCGTGTCTCACCTAGACATGGGCCTGATAGTTACGATGAGTAGTCAAGGCGGGTGATAACGTCTGCATTTATCATGGTGACCCCCTGATTGCCTATTGCACCTGTGGAGTTGCATATACCTAATAAGCGTGATGTCACTGTGTTAGCTATTTTCTTGAACTTACCTCCCTGACTCTGTTTTGTTCCCAGGCTAGTTTGCATACCTGAATGAGGAATCGTCCACACAAGTGGCTCTCACATCTCCACCGCTTAACCCATGCATAACAATTCTGTACCCAATGGAGGCCGAACTCCATAGGAAAATGTATCGCGACGAAGTTCTGTGGACAGAACCATCTCACTTATCAAATCTGAGGAGTATCAAGCAAACAAACGTCATTGATCAATTTTCCTAGATGGAACTTGCATTACATTATTTCTTAAATAACACAGAAGAACGCCTAAATACATTAGTGTTTTAACTCTCGTAAACCGGTAGCGAAATGCGAATCTGTGGTGGTACATGACCACGAAATTTCGCTCAGTTAAACAAAATGCTACGTTAGACTAACTGCCCAAAGAATTCACAGCTTCAAAAACCAAATAGTTTCGGCGGAAACAGTTTGGATGCGTTAACTCTAAGACTTGAGAGAGGATTATTTAAAACAAATTCAAACGCAACCAAACTAGATTATGGTGGATTGTGGTTTGTTCATACTGACAGCAAACAGCTACATTTTCACGCAGAAAGTTTCATTCGGCGTACTAATTTCTCCGAGAAACTGGCATCTGCCGGCTAACGATCAGGGCGTTCGGTCCCAACTTATGACCAATCAGAGCTCGGCCTGAGGTAAACCGGCCGGCTCCCCGGTCTTCTCTTCAGTCACGTGCGAGTTGAACTGAGTCGCCGTTCGGTGTCTTGCTGTGAGTGGTATGTCCGATTAAGTTTCTGCCTGCTGTTTCGCCCATAATGTTGCCATCCGAAATGAAGAGCTTACCGGGATGGTCAGATGTGTCTTTTGTCCTCGGTGGCTCTGGTACCATGACCAGCCTTGGTCATGAGGGAAGGCAGACCTGAGGGCAACCATCTCTGATGTTGGGCTCAGGTGACTAGAGCCTGTAGACTTCTATGCGTCCGCGATTGTTGTTGTGTGAGGATAGTCGAATTCATAGTGTCTCGGATTTCAAACGAATACTCATTTGACCAACGGGTCTTTGTTTCGCGTTCGCAATTTTCATGGACTACTACTGCTGCTGCTATACTTCTGGACTTCTTTGACCACCGGATCTTGAAGATAGTGAATATCATAGCGGAGAATGGTCTCCCTTCTCACTAGAGAACAAGCTGCAACACGGGCCCGAACCAAGACATGGTCTGGCCCCGCCCACATGCATGCGTCCATGTTTTCCAGTCTTGGACAAAAGATCGCCATCTATAGCCAGTCGCTAAGATGGTTGAAAGCAAAGGCGAGGAGGTGAAAACTCACAGAAGAACATTCTGTGCACCTAGAGACAACCTGCTGCACTTTCCAAAACCATGGGACTTAACGTGTCATAGCATCATGTGCGACGAGGGTGTCATCGGTGGGACAGCATTCTTTACGAACCTCACTCTACATAAGCCAAGCACAAAACGAGAGGCGAACTTTATCTAGATGTACCGGCCAAAAATGACTGCAGATTTCTCACTGGGTATTTCCAGCCACGGTCTAGGGGACCCACTTGGACGCCGTTCAGGGAAGCGCGAGGACCCCACAGCACTCAATGTGACAGTAACTGCTTTCGTTTAATGTTGCTGCCTCCGCTCGTCCTCCCTAATTTTTTCTCTACCGGTGGTCCGTGGTGGGAAACAAGGGTTTCTTCGGTGCTTAAGCATACGTAGAAACGCCCTGACAATTTTAACCCTAATAAGCCATATCTGCTTCAAGGTGAGCGTCGCATATGCGACTCTTATATAAGCTTATATAAGCTCTTTTCGGGGCATGAGGGACATGGCATTGGACCCTAGCTGCGCAGGCTACTGTTAGTCCGAGAAGGTGAAGAATCAGAGACTTCTGATATTAATGGTTGGGTGCATTTAACTGTGTGGTGACGTTTATGACACTTGTATGCCACGGTCATCTTTTATCTTGCTTTTACCACTGGTGTGTTGTGCTCAATGAGAATAATGATAGTGACCTGGTGATGTCACAAGACTAATGGCGCTGTTGTGCCTATCTTGTCGCTCCTATTCACCAACCCATTTTCTGTAACCACACTCTAAAAAATCTTTTAGTTGTAGCAACTTTTCGGTGCCTAACTGGCATGCCACCCGAAGAAAGCACGAGGGCTGGGATACTGCCAGGCTGCCCAAACCTAAACAGGGGAGATGGAGAGGCAGAGGCCAGGTTCGAACCACGTACCTTCGGGTCAGCAAATTTGCGCTCCAACCACAGCCGTCTTGCTCTCACAGCCTACATCCTATGTCACTGTCGTACGCTGTGGCAATCTCAACTACCATGCACGTACTCTGAACTGAGCCCAAAGGGCACGTTACAGCCTCCATATATGCTCAGTCCTTTAAGGCAGTTTACCGTCGTTTCCATTCAAGTGGCATTCGACAGTTCTCGGCCAACTAGGAGACCCGACCTTACAGTGTTGTGACAGTTTGTGAGCCTCCGGGACCCATTGGGTTTTCTAGGGGATGTCCTTGTAACACTCGCAGTCTCATACCGGGTTCATCCTCCAGGGTCTGATTTGTCCTTTACGAAGCAGTGCCAAACACAACCTTTTGGTGCCGCAGCTTTTAGGCCACAGGTTTTGTCCTCCCCTTGTCTAGGTCTGCGCGCCATGGCAGTATCCCAACAAACATGATTCCTTCATTTCAAACTGCTCTCATGCCACATCAGCCATCGTTCGGTGTCACCAACCGGGTCACTGCTTGCCACATACAGCAGAGCGGATAAGCGAAAACACTCCACTGCTGACGTCTCTCCTAAACGTTTTCTCCTTTCCCCAACACAATGACCTTCCTTCCAGGCCATAAGTCACCGGGCAAAAGGACCTTTGCCTAAATGGTTCGTCTGGCAAAGTCCGTGGATTATTCTTACTAGCAGGAAGCTGATCTTCATCTGTTTATCGTGTCTGTTTACACCCCAGTCGATTGTAGACCTGAAATTATGAAAGACAAGTCTTATGAGTCATGTGTGTCCTATTACGCGGAACATTCAGATATTTGAATACATAGGGTGAACAGACTCAGTGCCTCTGAGATTCAGTTGGGTAGCCGATTTGGATTGCTCTCGCTGCTCACCGACGACGGTGAACGACTGCTTTGGTTGTATGCTGACCGTAGACTGTTTTTATGCAGTACTAACTTTATTGTCATTGACAGCATAACATAAGCGTTCAGCTAACTTCGGAAGTCGACTGGTCGCATGGTGTCTTCCAAATGTTAGCCGCGGAGGTTAATCGCATTACCATCAGTTACCGATGGCGCTAATGAGTAACAGGTTGCTAGTTACCGATGCCCTCATGAGTAACAGGTTGCTGCTCGTTTCGGAAAACATGTGGATTCTGACAAAACACTCATCCGGAGTCACTTCTCTTTTCGGTTTCCCGAGCCGTTTGAGGGGCGGAAAACGTGCGTAGTAACTGAGAGGCTGGCAGCTCGCGAATCGTCTGCCGGACTCTTGCAACTATTCCACCACCGGATGTCAGTTCGTACTGGACTGAGTTCGTCACATGCTTGTACAATGCTAGGAGTTCCCCCTGCGACATGGCTCTACTAGGTACCTCAAAATACTGGATGTGAGATGGAATAGTGGCGCTGCTTGAATCTTGGAGTAATATCCCGAACGCGCTTCAGCCTGGTAGACACGGCTAAAATGGATGAGCCGAAGAATGCCATGAATGCTGGAGACGGCCCCCAGAAACCGTACTCTACCGAAATAATCAACAGTCAAAGTGGTACGACCTTCTTGAATAAGGAAGAGGCCCTTGATCGCTGGGCTGAGAACCGTGAAAAATGATTCTCATGACTAGCTAACACCGAACTAGTACCCCGGACGGTGAGCTTCGAATCGCTTAAGGCCCCAGTCTATGATTGCATATGTTCTCCCAAGCACCACCGATTTTTTGATTTGGATAAATTCCCACCCCTTTTCAAGGACTGATCTGTTTGCCATCGTCTGGGAAAAGCAGAGCGCCTCAGATAACTGGAGAAAATTGGAGACAGCACCCATTTTCAAAAAGGAGCCTGTAGTGGATGCCGTAATCACAAATTGATCCGTTTGACTCCATTCACTTGTCCTTTGATACCTGTTGGCGGCCCATAAATAAGTGATTCGAGGGGTTGTATTGACCAGATCTTCATACCGGTAGGCGCTAGGACAAAGCCATACGTACGAACCACCCACAGTTTTGATATTGTATTTTCATGGCGTACTTCGTTCAGTTGACCGGTCAGCTGTCCTTGACTCATTTGGTCAGCAAGGAATATCCCGGAGGTTTGTTAATATGATACGCTCTTAGTAATATCTCACTCCTGGGCGCATGTTAGTGTACAGGGAGCTATCCAAAAGCTTTTGCACGTTAGGTGATGTCCGACATGTTTCCCATTCTCTCCATCCCTATTCATTTTTGGATGGATGAGATAATGAAACGAGTTCCGAAATCCCTTCCAAATCCTAAATGAAGCGCCGGTCAGGAACCCACTGATTCCATGTTTACCTTAGAACAAATTACTCAAGCGTCACCCTTTGGTCGTTTTTTTTTACCTAAAGGCCGCATTTGACGCCTCCGATCGTCAGTGTTTGGCGATCAAAGGGGTGTCATTTAAATTTTTATTCCCTATGAAGGCTATGTATGCAATATCCTGTAAGTTCATGTGGGTATATAGCAAGCTTTGACCTGAGTTCATCACGTTAAGTGTTATGGGACAAGGTTGTCTTCTCTCATCACCCCTCTTAAGCTTTGTTATTCACGTACTGCTTGAGTTGCACTCATTGGCGTGATAGAATAAGCTGAAAACATTCATTTGTTCTCCACATATCTTGTCCAATCTAACAATTCAATCCGGATATTATCATCTGTGCGCACTGGAATCTATAATACGGAAAGCACGTTTCTTTTTTGGCAACCATTCCCTACTTCGATCACCTATATTTGTGGAGGGATGTTTCAAGTGTGTAACTACAAACATTTACCTTGCAAGTAAAAATATCCCAACAGAGAGGAAGGTTTGGCATGGTCCTGAGCTTTCCCTGTCTTCGGGGATGAGGTGCCGCAAATGCTGCTCAACCAGGATGTGGTGGATATACACTGCTTTGTACCTTTTCACTTATATAGAAAATGCTCCTCAACCAGGATGTGGTGGATATGCACTGCTTTGTACCTTTTCACTTATATAGACTCCGTTTTCAGACTGAAGTCTCGATCGGGATTTCAAGATCCGTTTTCTGCAAGAGTTTTCGATCCATGAAAAATTAAATGAGTTTTTTAACCACTGCCGACTCAATTCTTTGCGGTAATCACAAGGAAAGTATTGCTTTGTTGTTGAATTAGCTGTGACTCGTTGTGTCCCATGCTGTATTCAGAGGTCCACACAGCTCCGCGCAATATCCCAATTCACAGCCTCTTATTCTCTGCAGTGATCAATCATGGATGTCCTATTGGATGCCTCTCCGGTAAAGTCTTATCCACGACCTGGATCAGCCACCGACACAACAGAACTGTATCTACATCAGGTACAGAAACAGCACCGCGTTGGTCATGCACCATCGCAACTAGAACATGTCAGCCAACTGGACATTGATCACGTTTCGGGGTTCGTCCGACAGGCCACGATTGTTTGCACACTCGGTAGGTTTCCTATTTTGCACACTTATCTCATCCGATCCTATAGGTGATCGATGGAACAATGATAAGAGTATTGAAAGCATGATTCAGGGTGGAATGAACATCCTTCGTTTGAATATGAGTATGGGCTCGTACGAGTACTATGCGGATGTTATTCGACGTGTGCGTGCTATAGAACAGGCCTCCAACTATAAGCCTCCGGTGGGCATCGCTATAGATATATCTGCACCGCCTATACGCACAGGGATAATCAATAACGTACGTCTGTATGTGGCATGATCTGTTACAATATCACTTCGTTTAGGATGTCGAGGCGTGTGTCACGCTGAAGGATGGACAGTTTGTTAAACTTACCGTTAATAATGAGTTCCAAAATGCGACATCAGAAGAACTCATTTACCTGGACTCGCAGTACTTTCCGTGTCTTGTTCAGTGCGTCAGCGTGGGAGATCGCATCCATCTGGATGATGGTATGCTGTCTTTGATAGTACGCGATGTGACGTCCACTACAATAAGTTGTCTGGTTGAACAGGGTGGTAAGTCAAGCTGGTTCCGCTTTTCTGTACTTACCTTTTTCACACCTAGGTCAACTTGGTGGTGGCAAACGTGTCGACTTACCGAGCGAACGACTTTATCAGAAGACATTCAAGACAACCTACCAACGTGACTTGGCCTTTGCCTGTGAATCGAAGGTTTGCTGATATTTTGTTTACTGATGTGTACAGGTGGACTATGTTTTCACTGAATACTCCTTTACACCCCAGCAAATATCGGAGGCAAGGGCCATTTTGGGTGATAAGATCAGACTGTTTGCCAAGGTACAAAGTAAAGAATCTATTCGCAAGTAAGTCGCCCTTGTTTTCTTTACTGTTTGGGGGACGAGATGACTCAAGTGGTTAGAGCGCGAATTTACTGACCAGAAGGTCCGTGATTCGAACCCGACCTCTGCCTCTCGACTTCCCCTGTCTGGGCTTGGGTAACCTGGCAGTATCTCATCCCTCGTGCAACCTTCGGGTGGCATGGCAGTTAGGCACCGAAAGGATGCTAAAGCTGAACGATTTTTATTTCTTCATCATTTCTAACTGTCCCCGTAGAGTACTATGTGGCGCATATATTGTGTTGGATAATTGGGAGTTTTTCTCGCATCAACGGTTGAATCCATCCAGGTTATCTCTGAACACTCCAGTTGAATAACCTAGCCCACTACGAATGATATCCTTCGGTATCGGGCCCCATGTTGTTTTCATGCAGATGAACAGATACGTAAATGTCGCTCGCTCAGTCTTGTTCCGTAGTCTGGATTACTCCATGCTACGTCTACTTTGTCAATGAAGCTATCTTTCACGTCATTTGTCCCTAAAGCAAAGATATAGAAATTTTTTGGGATCAGGTCAAGCCCAGAACTTCATTACATCAGGAGGGTCAGCTTCCTGAAAGTAATCTCAGAATGTCCATAACTTACTCAAACCCTCAAATCCCACCAAAATAGCAGCAGGGAAGCCATCAAGCATACAGGCCAAAAAAACAGCTGTCGATTAGGCACCCAAGCAGTCAATCAGTTCAGCAACGGCCGACGATGATGAACGTTCATCCAAAGCCGATCAGACAGCTTGGATCAAGGTCGAAAGTCCGCTTTAAACCCCCGATGCCCCCTATAGTTTGTTCGCAATACAGCTGTCGTTTTCCTTGTCCTCAAGGGGACAGCAGTTAGTTACAACACATTATATTCCGAACATTTGAAGGGGGTGAGCCTATGGGGCCGCGAATTCAGGTCTTCCTATATCATACCACATTTTGGTCCGGTTTTCAGAATTGCTTTAATCAAACACAAACTTTCGGAAATGTTCGAGTCTTCCCAGAACTGTTTGGGTGGACAACGGGCAGTGGATGGGAAGGTTGATCGGGAGTTTTCTCCTGGAATCTATACCTAAAGTAATCGCTATATTGTAGGATGAAGCACGTAGCTTAAGTCACCAACTACTGTCAACGTTCCCTGCAATAATTCTGTCTGATGGGTCCTGGATGTGTTCACTAGTTTGGGCAGGTTTTCAGTCCCTCATATACGACCACCTCTACAAACCGAACGAATTCATCTGTCCAGAGTTGCAAAGGAAGCATCCTCCTATTAGTCTCCTTTATATTCGGACTGGACAGCTACCCAAAGTCATTCGTGTCTACCACGTCGGTCGCCTTTCGGTGCCTAGCTGCCATGCCACCCGAAGGTTGCACGAGGGCTGGAATACTGCCACGTTGCCCAAGCCTAGACAGGAGAAGTCGAGAGGCAGAGGTCGGGTTCGAACAACGGACCTTCCGGTCAGTAAATTCGCGCTCTTACCACTTGGACCATCTCGCTCCACGGTTGCCTTTAGCGCAGATCGAATCTGGATTGGCGTGCGAAAAAGTTATTTACCACCACAGACTCTAACAATAACATTACCCATTCAGTTATAAAAAAATGCAACTTAGTATTTCTGCTGTGGGCCTATTGGGCGCCGCCATGGTTAGAATTTGATAACACATTTCAAATTGGGACCCAGTTTTATTATCCTAATGTGACTGTACGCTTAATCCTGTGAGAAAGTAGTGTCGTTTCCTTGTTCGTCAGTTACTGACTCAGGGCCCATAGAACTGAATTGGTTCAAGTTGTACCTTCTGAAATGATAACGACTGACTGATGAAACCACGAAACTACAATGAACGCTTCAGCAGTGAGGTCCCCAAGAAGCAGGAAGACAGCCATCTGCACCCAACACTTGAAATTTCTTACATACGATCCAATTTTAGCGGTTCCTTGAGCCCCGCGGTCTATGGTTGTTAAAACTCATTTCCGGTAGTTTCTTTATGCTTTTTTGTTATCCTTATGTCAGACAGCTGTAGATCTCATGTGCACACTTGCATTATAGTTCTCAGGATTTCTCCAGCTGCCGTAGTTTCTGGTAGCTTGTGTTTGAATGTCGCAAACTGCGTGGTTCCGGCTCCAGAACTCTGGTAACGGAAATCATTTTGAAGCATGGATATAGAGTAGCTGAGTTCGATGTAACACCGGTTCTCTCCACTGCCTAATGCTACTCACCAGGATTCTGATTTGGAGGCTACGCAATGGCCTGCATTACGAATTTATCGATATTGACCACATTACACGGTATGGGTGTGTCATCCCGTCGTCCCTTAAGGATAAGTTGCGACAATCGCTACTCAGTCCTGTTCCACGCCCATCGTTGGCTAGTACATGGTATTTGACTCAGAACGGGTTTTCTCTAATGTGTTCGTCTTCATCCATCACTAAATAGTTACCATGTTAAGCGGTAAACTTTCAAAATACGTGGGAAAGGGTGATTTCAGTGTACATTGTGATTAGTGGGAAACCGTTGGGGCTTCTCTAGGATGGTACTGTTGAATCTTTTCAGTTGAAGGTCACTGGTTACTGACCGGCATTGTTCACAACTACTCATGTCTTGCTTCGAGCCTTGGTATTTTAAGTTTTCCTGTTTTAGCTTCCCCATCTAAAGTAACTTGCATCGAACGTAGCGCATTCTGATAATTTGTCGAAAATACTTGTCCATGCCATTTTTCTTCCTCACGCTCTCCTCAGCTTACTTGACATCATCTCTGTTTCGGACGGTATTATTGTTGGTCGGAACGGTTTGGGTCTTGTCTATCCCGCTGAGAAGATTTTTCAACTGCAAAAGCAGATTATTGCAATATGCAATCTCATGCAAAAACCTGTTTTCGTGATTTCCCAACTGTTGGAATCGATGAGATTCAAACCACGGGCCACGCGAGCAGAAATTAGTGACGTGGCTAACGCGGTGATTGACGGTGCAGACGGACTTATTCTGACCGTGGAGACCTCACGAGGCTTGTTTCCCAAAGAGGCAGCGCGTGTCTTGCACAAGGTAAGTTCATTCACCGCTCCAGTGCAATCTCCCATCTGCCCGGGCATTCGTCTTTTCGTTCGTTTTCTTCCAGCTCAGTGATAGTACTATACAGAATAGTGCACCCGCAGTGATTGTCGACTAGTCTTAGCCGCATTGAACCAGTTCCTTTGACGACTGCGTGCAATTCTTTTGTCACGTGCATTTTGGTCAGCTCGTTGTGATTTGGAGAGGATGAAGATACAGTGACTTTCAATTCAAATATCCATATACCGTGAACAAAATCTGAAGCTGGACCGGAACCGCCGACTGCCCGCGAATGCCAACCCATGCTACTGCATTTCGCCACTGATCTGCAAAAAGGAAGGCACAAGTCACTAACCGGGATGATGGCTGCCGCTTAACGGAGGTCAACTGTTCACGGATATTACACAAAAACTAACATCAGTGTGTTCAACTGAATCTAGCCAACTGCCCAGTTGAGATTCTTCACCCGTCCCCTTTCCATTTAGCCTGTTAACTTGTGCCCACCTGGTTGCTCTGCCTGCCATTGTGGCCGCAGATGCAGTGCCACATAGGTAGGAAAAATTGAACTTTGTCTCGAAGAGTACCGAAGTGTCTGAGAAGAGCCATGGAACAAAACTGGAGTGTTGAACCATGAAGCAACCAGGAGCCGAGATCATCGATATTCAATCGTCTTGTGACCACAGGTCACTCAGTTAACCTCAACTAAACGTTCAAAATAATCGTATGCAACCGAAACCCCCCGGCAATCGGCTATCGGGTGGACGCTGCCTGTCCGGTTTACCCGACCACTTTTATGTGCGCAGCAATTTCCGATATGCGCTGCGTATCTACCTTGTAATTGGCCTTCCGATGATCTCAGTGCGTAGCACTTTAGCCATTTTTTTGACATTGTTACTGTGCCAAATTATTTTGAAGTAATTGCCTGTTTTGCGTGTTCAGTGACGAAGACATGAAGTGTTGATATCCCGTCATTTATACCCTGGTGAATTGGATCAAAAAGACCCAGTGCCTTTAATAACCCAAGTTGTTCAGTCATTTATTAGAGTTTGAGAAAAGTTCAATCGGTTCTCATGGCTGTTCGATTGGCTAGCACCGAGGTGATATCTTTAGAGAGCGACTACCTTCCCAACTAAGACCTTTTCCTTACGGTCTAATGAGTAAAGAACTGCCCGCCGACTACCGACAATGACTCCCACACATTCCTCCCCAGACTTAACTTCTCCAACCAGTACCGGGTTTCCTCCCATTTTTAAACCGACCACGTTACAGCCGCGTTTGATCATATGTTGTCGAGGTAGCCCCGTTTGCAAGGTACTACGATCTGCAGTGACCGGAGAAAAGTCATCTCTTTTGGGTGGCCCTAGACGTTACAGAGCCCTCACGAAATAAGCCAGAGTAATGCATAACTACGTGAACAGTGCTCCTGGATGATAGTCCTGACCGTCCGCAACTTTCGTCTATTAATGCAAAGCTAATCTTGCTGTCTTAAAATATGGTCATCGATGCAACACATGGAGACCGGCACTATTCATGCACTGACACATGTCTCATTCCGAATTGCCCAATGCATCTGAAGCTGGACCGGAACCGCCGACTGCCCGCGAATGCCAACCCATGCTACTGCATTTCGCCACTGACCTGCAAAAAGGAAGGCACAAGTCACTAACCGGGATGATGGCTGCCGCTTAACGGAGGTCAACTGTTCACGGATATTACACAAAAACTAACATCAGTGTGTTCAACTGAATCTAGCCAACTGCCCAGTTGAGAATCTTCACCCGTCCCCTTTCCATTTAGCCTGTTAACTTGTGCCCACCTGGTTGCTCTGCCTGCCATTGTGGCCGCAGATGCAGTGCCACATAGGTAGGAAAAATTGAACTTTGTCTCGAAGAGTACCGAAGTGTCTGAGAAGAGCCATGGAACAAAACTGGAGTGTTGAACCATGAAGCAACCAGGAGCCGAGATCATCGATATTCAATCGCCTTGTGACCACAGGTCACTCAGTTGACCACAACTAAACGTTCAAAATAATCGTATGCAACCGAAACCCCCCGGCAATCGGCTATCGGGTGGACGCTGCCTGTCCGGTTTACCCGACCACTTTTATGTGCGCAGCAATTTCCGATATGCGCTGCGTATCTACCTTGTAATTGGCCTTCCGATGATCTCAGTGCGTAGCACTTTAGCCATTTTTTTGACATTGTTACTGTGCCAGATTATTTCGAAGTAATTGCCTGTTTTGCGTGTTCAGTGACGAAGACATGAAGTGTTGATATCCCGTCATTTATACCCTGGTGAATTGGATCAAAAAGACCCAGTGCCTTTAATAACCCAAGTTGTTCAGTCATTTATTAGAGTTTGAGAAAAGTTCAATCGGTTCTCATGGCTGTTCGATTGGCTAGCACCGAGGTGATATCTTTAGAGAGCGACTACCTTCCCAACTAAGACCTTTTCCTTACGGTCTAATGAGTAAAGAACTGCCCGCCGACTACCGACAATGACTCCCACACATTCCTCCCCAGACTTAACTTCTCCAACCAGTACCGGGTTTCCTCCCATTTTTAAACCGACCACGTTACAGCCGCGTTTGATCATATGTTGTCGAGGTAGCCCCGTTTGCAAGGTACTACGATCTGCAGTGACCGGAGAAAAGTCATCTCTTTTGGGTGGCCCTAGACGTTACAGAGCCCTCACGAAATAAGCCAGAGTAATGCATAACTACGTGAACAGTGCTCCTGGATGATAGTCCTGACCGTCCGCAACTTTCGTCTATTAATGCAAAGCTAATCTTGCTGTCTTAAAATATGGTCATCGATGCAACACATGGAGACCGGCACTATTCATGCACTGACACATGTCTCATTCCGAATTGCCCAATGCGTAAATAGGTTAAGTAGGTTTAGCTCGTCCTCAAACATCCAAAAACCCATTGGAACAAATCTTGTGCTTAGTTGTGTGTTTTGTACGAGAGTCGATTTTGTTCTAGTGACAGTCCGTACTGTGCTTCTCGGCTCTCTGAGCCAAGATCATGTGTAGTACTGTGCACAAGGGGACATCTGTACACATTTACCGCTTCAGCGTTCGATCGTCTGTACGAGGTCGATTTTGTTCTAGTGACAGTCCGTACTGTGCTTCTCGGCTCTCTGAGCCAATATCATGTGTAGTACTGTGCACAAGGGGACATCTGTACACATTTACCGCTTCAGCGTTCGATCGCATCCGAACCGCAAGTGCGAATGCTTGTTCAGTCAGAGTAACTACACGTTTCTGAAAAACGCGCTTCAAGGCTCACTACAGTTCCATTTAGAAGGCAACTCGTAGGTAATCCTAGAAACTTGCGGCTACTTCGTTGAATGCCCCTTCACCATGCTTCAATGCTCTCAGATATTCCGTTAGGATCCACAAGGAGTCAACACCTACTGGCTGGTTTGTCAAAACTATACCTGTTTCCGCACTGCCTTCTTAGAGAAGGAGCGATATCTCATGGTTTAAATAGAAAGATGATGAAAAAATGGTCCAACTGTAGCACCCTTCCTGTACCTAGCTGCCATACCACCTGATGAAAGCACGAGGGCCGCGATACTGCCAGGTTGCCCAAGCCTAGACGGACAGTCTAGATGCAGTGGTCGGGTTCGAACCACGACCTTTCGGCCAGTAAGCTAGCGCCTTAACCGCCCAGGCTTCTCAAGATAAATGCGCGTCAATGTTCTTACACCGATCCGAATGAATTCCCTATTGCATAACTGCCCAACAGCATTGAATCATTCTTCCTGTCCATCAAATAGAGCAACAGTACCCATAAGTCACTGAGTTCGGGAAATCTCGTGTAAAATCTGCTGAACGTGGAGTCTTTCTCGGAGGCCTCCGGTTTCTTTTCAAGACTACCATCAACATCTTGCCAAACCCTTCATACTAATCTCGGCTTCTCCAATGGTAAGTTTGTTTCCGACCGTCTTTGGCGTTTCCTTGTTTGTTGGTTTACGCGTTCACTTGTCCAGTACGATGCGCATGTTCTCCCTCGTTGCCGGATGTCCACATCCTTTATCTTCATTTTGACTGCAGACCTGCCGTGAGGCAGAATCGGCCATATATCACGAAAAGTACTCTCGAGACCTGAAAGTATCGCGCGACATACACGGTTTATCTCCGAGGTCAGATCCTGCCTACTTGACCGCACTGGCTGCTGTAGAAGCTTCAACTGCCTCACGTGCTTCGGCAATTTTCGTGGCCACTGCCACCGGACAGTGAGTTTCGGTTTTTTCATGACGGCTAGTCCAATGTCTTTTGCGATTTTCGGCCGATAGAAGTAACTCAGATGTACGGGTAACACGGCCAATTACCACCAGTAACAAGTTATCACTCGAGGAAGAGTCAACAGGTGACGACGTGATGAGAGATAAGTGACGCTGAATCCTGTCTAATTAGTCATCATCATTATTATAGGCTGTAATAACCGCTTAAATGTCGCACAGTGGTTATAGCTGCCGCAGTTTCGTTCACCGATCATTTGCGGAGGTGGGTTAGGTATCTGCGCACTGGAGGCGGGAGGTAATATAATTGGTCCGTAAATACAGTGCTGTCAGTGGACTTTTAAGTGGGGGCTTGGTAGGGAGTTGTGCATTGAGGGCAGTAGCTTGAACGCCCGAGCACCATTTAGGGTGCGACTGGGCCATGTCTGATGTGGCCCGTCTCGGGGTCCCCCATCTGTGGTTAACTCAGGCGAGTGCTCCCCCTATACCTTCACATGGCCGCGGGAATTGGCGTACGGCGCCTAAAGGAGGGTCAATAATTTATGGAGGACACCTTTGCTCCATAGACACTTCCATAATGCCTGATGGTCCACAGAATCAAAGGCAGCTTGCAAGTAAAGGAACACAACCACTGCTGGTTGCTGAAGCAGTGTGCGGTTGCCGAGTCTGTTGGGTGATAAATGTATTATATTACTTTGCTTAGTAGTAGACACCCCATTTTTTGTGTTGTCCTCTCGCGACCCGTTCTCCGCGGACCTTTCATCAGCCCGATTTTTTTAGTGGGAAGCATAGCTTTGATATTTTATGACCGACCGTTCGTAGCTTCATACCTTACTCAATTCGGTATTCTTAGCCCCCTCTTGTTTGTTCCCTTAGAACTGTATTACTTCTCCTTCTGAAACAGCTTTCTCACTCCGTTGTTTACCTTGTCGTGCGAAATGGAATGTTGTATGTTGAGAAAAGTTTGGATGCTGTTGGTGCTGTTCGTTTTCCATGAAGAGGTCCACGTGACCCCCCCCCCTCCGTGCTTCGCTGGAAACATTGAACGTCATGGTAGCGTCTGTGTTGTCAGTTTCTATCCAGCTTGTCTAAGCGATAAAGGTGTAGGTACCTCGGATGCTTGTTACAGACTAACCCTACGCCCTCCTCCCTGTCCAATTTCTCCTTTCCATTTACAAACTCACATAGTCTGAAGTACCAGCGTTCTCTTCTGGTGTTGCTGTCAATGGTTATTGTTATTATTTTGGAGCACATTGGCCCCTCCGAACAAGGATCACTTACGGGGAATAACCCAGTTGGTCTTAGTCTAGCAGGGATAACACGCTGTATTGAATGTAAGAGCAACTAATAATGTACCTTTCTCAAATTCTTCTTATACACTCATTTCCATACCAATTTGATATGCATATGAGTGTGCAACGAAGGAAACTTTTAACCGTTTTTAGGGCAAGCTGTTGCGTAGTCGTTGTGTGCAACCATCAACTTTTGAAGTTTTTTTCTCTCGTTAGCTGTATCTCAACCTTGCTTCTCTAGTACACGAGTGCGCCATTAATGGGACTCCGTGGTTGCTTGGTGGATTTGCTCATTCTTGTTACTCGGAGAGCGCCCAGGGTCGAACATAATTATGCATATTTCCTATGACCGTCCTCTCGGGAAGTCCACTTTAACATGTACTATGCCTTGTGGATATGACACTTCCCAAAAGGGGTCACTCCTCTGGGGTATACCCAAGAGCGCAGCCCCGTACGTCCGCAACTATCCAGGAATGGCTGTTTACCCCGCTTTGGTGGGGGGTGATATATATGGCACATCTTAGCCTACAGATACGTTTTATGTTTTCGCCCAATCACGAACGCTGTAGCAGTTTGCCCTTATGCACCAAAGTGCTCAACGGACCTATGAGCGTGTACTTCGTTTATGGGATCTTTCTGCCCCGTTATACACAGTGTGCTGTGGTTTCCTGATGTAGTAGCATTGTCCGTCCTGCCTTCAGCCTGTTTTATGGGACAAATTGGTTGGTTGGTTAGCAATCAGGAGACGCTACATTGCAATTTCCATAGTTTTCTCGGATTGGAAATCCTGCACACTTTCTGTTTCGACGCACAGTGGAATGAGTAGAAATTCCCGAAAAAATGGGAAACAGTTCAAAATCTTTACTTGGGACTTTAGCCGTTTGTTCACTCACACAGAAGTCATTCAATAGCCGTGAGCGAAATGGGCTGCTTCCTCCATTACCCGAACGAGAAGTGATAGATCAAAAGACACTCAGGATCTTGCTTTCAGTTTTAGGAGAGAAATATCAAATGGACTGAATGAACTTCAAAATTTCCCTGAACCAACCGTCTCGGATGAGAGTCAATAGGGATGAGCCGGGTTGAAAATAGAGGTCAGTTTTGGGTTTAACGGCGAAAACGTGATAATACTGATGCTAAAGGTTACCGAATGTTGATCATTTCGCCTGACGAATTGAACGTTACTCCCCTTTCGTTCTAGTGTCCTATTGTGAGTACTTCCACATGTATCGCTCACATATTTTGTTTGTAATCATTCCCTTGGAGCAGACAGGTCACCTATTTTAGATGGTAGATCGTGAATAGATCTACCCTGTGGCCGAATATCAAGTTGTTATGGGGGTACTACCCCAAACGGTGGGCGAGACGGCTCAGTGGTTAGAGCGCTACTCTACTGACCGGAAAGTCCACACTGTTCGAACCCGAACTCTTCCTCTCGACTTCCCCTGTCTAGGCAGTATCCCAACCCTGGTAGGATGGCAGTTAGGCACCAAAAGGGTGCTACAGCTGAACGATTTTCTATTTGTTTTTACTACCCCAAACATGTGAGCACTACCTTAGTTTTCGGAAAATTTGAATTCCGAGGACAGAAGAAACCTGTGATCCCGGATTTGGGTAGTACGTTCATTCTTCCTCCCACAACCACCACCGCCACCACCACCAATACTTGTTCATTTGCCTCTGTTGCTGTTTTTTTAACATTTTACCAAGCATGTCAGTTCATTTAGGTTAAGTTGCCCTCCAAAGTGTTAGGCTCTCCACGTATTATTGAACACAAATGACAAGTTGTCAGTTTTTACTCCAAGGGATGACGACACAAATTATGACTTTATCTCTCGGTTAGTTCACAGTTCCCTCAGCGATGTCCAACTTCTTTCAGGTCAACATAACAGGACACATTCGGTATTGAAGGTAGAAAATTCAAGCAGCGGAAGTCGCGTGTCGTCAACTGTTCCAACTCTAGCCAAACATGTATGCAATACCTTATTGTTTCAAACAGGTCCAAATCCGATTCGGTTCAGATCCTCTGTTGTACTCGGGTTTGTAAGTGCACACAATGCAAATAAACAGGTGTCACCTCCGACTGGAATATAAACAAAGTGGTCCTTGGAATATTTGGACAGTCCAGTTCCATAACGTTATACCCTTTCCAAATTCTAATCAGGGCTTGGTCCTTCCAAGTAAAAAATCTCATAGATGGGACACTGAGGTATCCCGTGATGGGAAACTACTGTAAATATGTTCGCAAAGTTGTTCAGTTGATATCATTACCCTGAAAAGAACGGATCACAGGTCTTCACTGAACGATGGACTTTACTCTTAGATTGTACTGCCTCAGTATCTCATGGCGGGGTCGGTAGTTCTCTGCACGTGAACTTTCACGTGTTTGCACACAGGAGCACCATGCAAATCCGAACTAGTTCACAGTTAACGGTACAATGAACTCAGCTATTTGCAAATGGTTTGCATGTGACCGGTTCCGAAAGCAAAAAAGAAAAATGCACCCATGTGAACGTAAACAGGGATAGAAAAAAACTCAATTTTCAACGCAGAACGGAATGGTGAAGATAATGCTGTGTTTATTGGCGTGGGAGATGAAAGTATTGATTGCTTTTCCGATAAGCACTGTTTGGTTTACCAAGCGAAATGCATACGAAAACAGTTGCACGAAGCTACAACTCGTCCAAGCCACATCTCACCATCCGCCATCATGGCAATGATTAACGTTTCTTTTGTTCATGAAGTAATGTGCTGCCCCTTTCTTCGTTTTGTTCTTTGTTACTTCTGCGCCGATGTACAAACAAGACAGTATTTTGCTGGTCGAGTGCTTTCTTGGGATGTCAAACCATCTGTCAACTCGTTTCAGATCATTACTATGTGGATTCCACTCGGGGCTTGAAGGACCCGCTAGGGTGGATGCAGTTTGCCCCTAAGCATCTTTAAGAAATTTTCTTATTTCCAGTTGAGTCTCTCGTGAAAACCGAATCGATTTGCAAACGAGTGTATTTTTCAAAAACAGTCCAATTTGGGTTCAAGCCCCGGTCCAAGTAGGGCAACGCAGCTACGCGTTTGCATTATTGTAAACAGTTATCATCTGGTTCACTTATCAGCCGACATTGTTCTTTAGAATATACCAGTAGTTCAACTTTCAGGGTATAGCTAGCTAATAAACAATCCCACAGTTTACCAAATAACCCTAGCATAGGCAAATCAGTCTGTATGTTGTTTTGAACGGTTTCTATGCGCAGCTGGGGTGCGGAAACTCTCTCGAGGCTTAACTTGGTAGAAATTTCATTCATGGAAATTTTACAGAATTATTACGTCTGGAATTTGCCCGGGCTTAATTTAGATCCATAAATCACCCCACAGCGTGTAGGCGTACGCCATTCAGTTATGCTGTGATCGGTGAATACTTCCAAGCATCAAACCAGGACAAACTGTACTGGGTGTGTATCCTAACCTCATTCCCCAATGATATTCCGTCATTGGAGCCCGAAATTTCTCCAGGTTGGAACTCGGAATCTTTTGGTTTGGTATGGAACGATCATCCTAACTACCTTCACTCTCTATGGTGTGACGGCTATGGGCCTGCTTCATTCGTATTGTATGGAGGCATTTGTTCGAGTCCCCGTTTGTTTACTCATCCTTGCAATGCATAGAGCAACAGTTTCATACTTTCGGCCTATTCCCGACCGATTCGCT